ATACTTGCATAAAAACAGATCTTAGAATGCGCTAGTGAATATGATATATATATATATATATTCACTATATATGGGGAGTGCTGGGGGCTTATTGTGTATTTGGAACCCTAAAGTTTTCATGGTGTTAAGAGTGTTGCTGCGGCAAGCATTTCATAGTGCTCTTAGGTATGACTTCTGATCTTTTTGAGTGTGTGATTTCAAACATTTACGCACCCAATGATGTTGATAGTAGAGGTAAGTTGTGGGATACACTTGTAAGGATTAAAAATGATTTTCAAAAACCTTGGTGTGTTGGAGGGGATTTTAATGAAATCAGGCATTTATCTGAGAGAAGAGGACTATATGGAAGAGATAAGGGGATGAGAAAGTTTGGTAACTTAATTGAAAAATATGGAATTGGATGATTTACCAACGGTAGAGAGAAGCTTTACATGGTGCAATTCACTTGATGGGGAGAGGTAGAGTAGGATTGATAGATTCTTAATTGATCCTAAGTGGCTGGAGAAGTTTAAGTTTCCGTTGTGGGGTTTGCCTAGGGATGTATCAGATCATTGCCCTATATTACTTGGGAAGGATGATAGGAATTGGGGTCCTAGATGTTTCTCATACTTCATAGTATCACTCCATTTCCAAATATCTCTACAACAATATCAATTTACCACATTTTTCAGTTCTTCTCCTCAATGTTATTTTGCAAAATAACCATGCCATCAATTTATAGCAACAACACTCTCTCATCATGCCCAATTCATAACAAGTTAGCCTCTTCAAGGCTACATGTGATGTTTTCAACATTAAACTCTAAGATTTTACAATTCACACATTCCATGGTGCACAATCATTTGTCACCTCACAACAATACATGTCCAAACATTTAGTAATAATGTTAAAATATCATCTCATTTCTCATGTAACGAGTAGATGACTATTTTACTACACATATGATGAAGTTACTCTCATTTCTTCTCTTGGCACAAGAAAACAAGAATTTTGATAGGCATTTCCTTATTTTTCCAAAATTCCCAATTTCCTAGGGTTTTCATCAAAATCAAACATTTCCCATTCCCCTTAAAGAAACTCTATCAACCCATCTTTCTTGAGTTAATAAATAGGCAAACCTACTAAGATTAGTAAAAAGATTGAGATATAAACCCACTTTAAAACTCTCCACATTTTAGATTCACAAAATCAAAATCAACACAAATACTTCAAGGGAACTTTTAAATCAACAACAACAATGCAAAACATGTATATATAACTCAAGAAATCCCTACCTCAAAGTTTGATGAAGAGGAGAAGATGAAACCCTAACTTTAAAGATGAGAAAGAGCTTTGATTACACCACACCAAGTGAAGCTCTAGTCCTAGATCTTTAAGATTGTGAGAGATGATGATGATTTAGACCCAAGGATAGCAAGAATCAAAGTGTTTTAGTATTTTTGTGAGGGTTTTCTAGAGAGGAGGAGAAAATAGGGTTTAGAGTGAGATAGAGAGGCCCTAAATGTGATACAAATTCGGCCAAATGACATAAAAAAACAGAGTTTCGGACTGCCCGTCTGTCGCACGTGCGGAGAGCCTCTTCCCATACGTGCGGCCTTTCTCCTCGCACGTGCGGGGGTTCCCCGCACCTCAGTCCGCACGTGCCTTTTAGGCAGTGTGCAACACTCAGAAGTCCAGCCCTCGCCGCACGTGCGGCCCTAGCTCAGCAGCCCAGAAAATTCTGGTTCGATCCCTGGGCACTCCGGATCGACCGAGCACCCCCCCCCCACCGGGGAACAAATGAAATTCAACACTGAGCGGAAACAAGAACAAGAACTTAAATTTTGAGAACTATTTCTGGATGTTCAAACCTAACGAAAGCTGAAGGTGGACGGAGTGAAAAAGAAAGAAAGCAAAGAAAACAAGGACTTAATCATCACAACACATTCAGTTGAGAGTAAGAAAGAAGAGGGAGAGAGTGAACCTTGGTAGTGGAGGAGAGGAAAAGAGGAGAAAATTGTGCATGCAATTCACCTAACTTCAAGTAAGCCACAATATAACTCTCTCTTTTATTTTTCTTTTTCAAATACATGTTATTAGAAGTTTAAAAATAATATTTTCAGATGTGTTTTAATGGTGTTTTTGTGTTAAAATTGAAAAGAATTGAGCCATATTCCACCCTTACTGTGTTTTCTCTAAATCGGTGCAAAACTATCTTTTTCTACACCTATCTCTCATAATTTCTAAAGGAACACCTTCAATATGAATTTCTGAGTTTAATATATACTATTTAGCATGTTTTTATTATAAAACAAGTGAAATTATCTTTGGTTACCCTCTTTTCTTACCTTCTCTTTTATTTCAAGCTTTGTGCTCAAAGAACCAGCTTTTCAGGCAACTTGTGAAAATTCTAGAAAAATGTAGAAAAATTTTCTTGACCTAATTTTTATGTCAAAAGCTTCCTTAAAGGGTTAGCTTTCAAGTAAAATTGGTTTCATTGAAAAAGAGTTAACGGTTTGAAAGAAAATCTGATTTGTGTAATGATCAACGAATCTGGACAGCGCTGAAGTATTTATTGAAGAACTAAAAATCTAGAATAGATATCCTACTTTCGAAAAATGTTCTGAAAACTAAATAAAATTTTCTACGAACCATAAAAAGGCCAAGTTCGAAAAAAATCTGAAATGGTTCTTTTAATTTTAATCCTTAAACTTATTTTTGCACTGGTGTTCTATGCTCTTATCTTCATGAATGTACTTATTAGTTTATGATTATGTCTTGGTATGATATTACATATGCCATGGTTATATATATACCTTTTATTTTAGTCCTTTGATGATGCTCATACTTATGCAAATTTATTTATTTATATTTTATTTGTTTATGATAACTAATTTGAAACATTAATCCAAACGGAGAACTCAATGGGTGGCTAATGGAGTTTCGATCATATCAGTATTATTATGAGATAAGATTATGTTTAAATTGAATTGGTTAGCAAGACGTGTTCCCTTTTGAAAGATAAAGTTTTGCACAAGTAGTTGTTTTGGAATCCTAGGTGATTTTGGTGTGACAAGATAATGGGCAAGGTCCTTATTTTACCATATCTTTTGCGAACCTCGGTTGGCACTACGCGATATGTAACCATTGGTAAGCATCCGAAGTAAAGTCTATAAAGCAACAAAAGATAAAGCAAACTGAATAATCCATGTCCGATTCTTGTGATTGAGATGATGAAATCTCTTCGAAAAATTTCTAAACTATTGACAAGTAACCTTGTAACCTTTGTTATTTACTTAAGTATCATCTTTCTTTCCCCTATTGTTGTAATTCCTATTGTGTATTAGATTAGGAAAAAAGGACGCGGTGTGTGTGCATTTATTAGGCATTCAAAACTCATAGTGTTTCATGCCAGGTATTGAAGAAACATACGAGCTCAACGAAGAGCGAGAGACATTTGAAGACTTGTGTTTGTTTGAGAAAAAGTTAAAAGTCATTTTGCTTGTGAGTCTATTCGTGCTTTTATTTATTTATTTTTTCAATTATAATAGTAACAAAACTCATTTTGTAATTTAAGTAAGATAGAAGAAAATTGAGGAAATGGTTAGTGAAATGCCCTAAAAGCTAAAGTTCTTTCTTGAATAAGAATGAGAATATGCGGGATTTACACCAAGATTACTACATAAGGAAAAAATTAATATTTGCATTAATCTTAATTCACATATATGCAGGATTGCACAGTAAAAATTTTAAAACACATAAATTAGCTTAGACAGGAAAGATAGAGAATTTTAAAATATTTTAAAACCCCCAAAGAGAATCAACGAATAAGAATGGTCCCATTGCACGTTGAAGAAATTATGAAATCCTAATAATTTCAGTTACAAAATAGATTACATACACATGCATATATAGATATATAAGTAGTAACCTATTATTTCGAAGGGAGATACCATGGTATGACAATAATTGATTTGAATAATCAAATGTAAATAAGATAGAAACAAAATTATTAAGGTTTCACATTTTGTGTTTGCTTTTTTACATGTATGCACACCGATATTTTGATTTATTCTTTAAAAAAAAAAAAAGAAAACTCACTCATAATTAATATTTACAGAAATATACATATAAAGCACAAAAACAGAATGATAAACCAGCAAAATAAGGAAAACCTGCAAGAGCTTGTCTGACAACTGAGAACAGAAAAGATAAACCCAGAGAAAACAAAGCCAAACCCACAAACCCTTATCCGGCGAAAAAAGTGCGAATGCAAAAGAAAATAAAAAATGAAAAACCCCAAAAAAAGCAGCTATTCTTACAACGCGAAGTCCGATTACGTAAAGAAACAGAACGAAAGTGAATAACAAGTCACATTCATAGAGACAAAAAAAGAGAAGCAACTCATCTCCGATAGGGTTTCTCACCACCATCATAGTCCAGAGAGAGAAAGAGACACTACTGAGAGATATAGAGAGACAAGATTCGGTGATTGTTCGATTCGATTGTTGAAACGCGACAGAAGATTTTGCAAACCATGTCAAAGAAGACGCTCATCCATTCTCCAGAGCAAAATAAAAAAAAAATAATACAAGAAATTGGCTTCCCAAGAAGGTCCTTGCCATTTCCCAAGACAAAACCGTTCACACTTTGTGAATCATGCAGTTAAAAAAGGTACTAAAATATATATATATATATAAGGGGGAAAAAAAACAAAAAAAAAAAACAAACAAACCGAGTTTTCACTTTGGTAGCAATTTACAAAATAGTCCACAATGTTAAAGCAGATGAGAGTGTTTCACTGAACAAGCAACAAGGGCAGAAACGACCCAAAAAAAAGAGAGCCATATGTACTGTAGCAATGCATACTCCCTCTTATATTATAGGAGTACATGATAAAACAACATAATCCAAGATGAGCAATGAGCAATGCAGACTTCAATAATAGTGCTATTCCACCCTAACCTTCACTACTTCACCCAACTCAATAATAGTGCTATTCCACAAACACAGCAGTTCAATGATCAAAAAATGGACATACTTGGTTATGTAATCCAATTTCAATGTAGAGTACTTAACCTGATATCTTTAATTACTGTCAGTCACTCTTAGGTCTCAGAAAGCCATAACAACTTTCCGGTATTAATTTATGAAGAGGCTATGGAGAAAGAAAATACTACACACAAAAAGAAGAAGAAAAAGGAAAAAAGCGTTTGCTTTTTCTGATAAGAAAAAGAAAGAGACATTTACATTCTTTCACATTGAATGGAAAATGCAGAAACCATCACCAACCTCCAAGATGAGCAATGAGCAATGGTAAAGCAGTCTACAAAGCTCTAGTCTCTTCTGGCTTTCCTGCTGCTATGTTTGTAAAACACCAGGCTGCTTCAAGCAACTGCAGTACGACAAACAAGAGAGCAAAAGAGAGGTAACTTTTTTCTGACCAAAAAAAAAAAAAAACACACACAAACAGTGCTTCTTACAAGGATGCAAGCAAGCCCCATCATTTACAGATTCATATGTTCGTAACTTCAGGTACTCTCTTTTTCCTGAGGACTGGAAGGTTAAACTCATTTTCTGAGACTTCAGTATTGTGGAGAATTAGGATTATGTTGTTTTATCATGGGTTTATAGCTTTTTATGTTTACTCATGCGTATCATGGCTCAAATAATCCACACTTTGGTCGTCAAAGAAGTTTTCCTTTCCAATCATATAAATAAAAAGACAACTGACTTTAGACCAAAATGACATTTCCTCTGCCTTGCTTATGCATCATGAATGCTTCTAAAAGCAATCTCTCAAACTGTTCAAAAAGCAATCTCTTAACTTTGGCATATGCTTCGTGCCCATAACAAGAAAGGAGGCGTGCTTCCATCACTTAGAAAATGTATATTTTTTAGCCTAACAAGTTGAGCTCCCATTCCATTTTAACCCACAAAAATGATACCTATCATAAACAAGTTTTATTATTGATATCATTAATTTGTAAAGAGTGCATCCAATTTCATCTCAACAAGTAAATTACATGGATTGAAAGGAAGTTTCTTAGAATAAAGTTCCACCAATTTTCATATGATCCAAAAGTGTGACACCATGTGATTTGTGCACTTTATTTTCAACAGCTGAATTCAACAACTGGAATTGAAATCTATTAAAGAAGGGGTTTGGTAGAGTTTTACTAAGGATATATTGAGTATTGCTAAGGATAACCCACTGCTGGCAGAGTTATTAAAGAAGCCTGTCTCCAATTAGGCAGGGTATATTGAGTATTGCCAAGTATAACCCACTGCTGGTAGAGTTTTACTGGCAAATGCAAGAGTAAGGACTGGGAATGGGGAAAGAAAAAAAAATTGGTCTGATAAGTGGTGCAATAATAGATTGCTCAGTGAGGAATTTCCAAGATTGTTGCAGTTATCAGAGGATAAGGAGGATTCTGTCATGCAGTATAGGACAGTCTGGTCTGCATTAGTGACCTGATGGGATGTGTGTTGGGTATTGAAGCCTTGCTACAATGGTGGGATGGGGTGAAGCTCAAGATGAAGGAGAGGAAAATTTAGAATATGGTGCCACTAGTAATGCTGTGGTCAGTTTGGCAGGTGGGGAATGACATGGTGTTCAATGGGGGCCATCCCAATTTATAAATAATAATAAATTTAAAAGAAAATCAATCAATCTTATAATCTTAAAAATAAAAAACACAAACTGATAGGAACATTAAAAAAAAAAGTCAAAGATGAGCAATTATGAGAAGAGAAATACATTAAATATATGTACAAATAGCTATCTTAAAAATGCATGCTTGATACACCTCAGCAATTTACAATATGACACATGTTGAAATAAATTTAGATTTAACAAAAATATACCAACAAAATAGCATGGAAGTGACAAAAAAATCTTATCTTAAGAAAAGAAACTTGATCATGCTAATAATAGCACAGATGAAGAGAGAGAGAGAGAAAAAAAAAAAAACCTATGAAACAATTTCCTCACATGATGTTCAAAGTGAGCTATATAAGCAGCCAATCTGAATTAACTCTTTGAGTTGAACCATACCAATTTAGTTGTTCACCCTTTGTTTCCCCCTATGGTTATTTATTTTCTTCTATGCAAAGCACAAACGTTTAGAAAGATAAAACAAATCAGATGTGTAGCTAAAGAATAAAAACAATCTGGAACAAAGTAACCAGCATTGTGAAAATGAAACAATATATAAAAACTTTTAGCACATACTACTCACAATCAGCCAAAGAAGAAATCTAACATTGGAGAATATTATATCTTAAGAATAAGAATAATTTAGAGGCAACAAAAGAATTGGTATGAATAAATGTCTGCAAGAACTGAAAATTTTAGTAGCCAACCTGACAGTCCATTCTGTCAGTAAACCCACCATGTCCAGGAATGTATCACCAAAATCCTGCAATAATTGAGGAAGAAAGCAAATGAACACTTAGTATGGATCTCATTTGGATACTGATACAAATTTATAAATTTGAGCAAAGAAATTGTGAACAAGATGCACCTTAATTTGAAAAGCTCTCTTCAAGCCACTTGCAAAAAATAACCCCTAAAGAGCTATAATTGATGCAAATAAACCCAGGCACAAAGCATACCATTGAACAGGCAAAAGTGCTGATATTTCTTTCCAATGAAACTGTAGACTTCAATGAAACAAGACATAATAATAATTTCAACAAATTTATGATAAATCAAAGATAAAATAATTTAAAACATTTATAAGAAAAACTCAAAAGAAAATCACAATATTAAGGGAAATGTAGAATCCAAGAAATGATATTCATCACCAATATCACAATGTACACTCAGTTATGACTATATATTTTCAACTTGCATTAAGATTCAATACAGATGGAATCATGGATATGAATCTTTTATTTCCTTGGGCAAAACAAGAATTCAGGATCCTATTGAAAACAATCTTAAACTTGCATTATTAATTTACAGCC